GTGTGTTGTTCTGCATCGCGGCCACGCGCGCACCCCCCCCCCGCGGCGTACAAAGTCGGGCGACGAGACGCGCGCGGCCGGCCCAGAGCACGCGGCGCAAACACACACACACACAGACCAACACACACACACACACACACACACTCTTTGCGTCGGCGGCTGGGCGGAGGGTGACTGCTCCAGCGATCAGGCATCAAGACAAAGCACACACACACACACACACGCACAGCAGCCAGCCATGTTTGTCACTGGCGGGAGGCCGTGCTGCCACTAGGCAAAGGGGCCCTGGGCCCCAGGGGCTCCCCACCAGAACCGGCCTCCTCGTCCCGAGCCCTGCTCTCACGGCCCCCTGCCCTCGAAGGCCCCTGGGAGCCCGAAGACGCCACGACACCTCGGGACACCTTCCCCTCAACAAAGCAACCTTCCCCTTTCCCCTCCTTCAGAGGCCTCCTAAATGGGGTCGAATTAGATGGGGTCGGAGAATCGCGCCGCATGGGCGATGCATCGCCCATGCATCGCCCATGCACTGGCGATGCACCGGCAACGTCGGCGATGCATCGGCGACGTCGGCGTGGAGAAGATCTGGCTCCTCATCGAGCCGCATCGCCGATGCATCGGCGATGCGGCGCGATCCTCCGACCCCACCTGCTCAGACCCCATCTGGGAGGCCCAGATCCTTCTGCTCTACGCACGGGCCGCCAGGGTGGCCTCTGCCATGAGCCCTGATGCGCTGCTGGCTGGGGGTCGGCGTCTCCCCCAAGCGAAGCCCTCCGGGCGCCGTCGAAAGTGCACAGTCAACCCGTATAGCAAGGATGCGCGATGAGGATGCAAGGGCTGTGGGCGCCCATTTCGAAGCGTTTCGAGCGGGGCGCGGCCAGCGAAAGTGGCCAAGGGTGGACCGAGGAGGCAAGGATGCAAGGTGCAAGGGTACCCTTGGGAAGGCTGCCGATCCTTGAATCTGCGGGCTGCCTGTGCATGAGGGGCGCCCCCGGGCGCCCCCTCTGGCCCAGCATCCAGGGGCCACCGCGGCGGAAGGGGGCACCCTCTTCTGCGCACGCGGCGCCGACAGCGTGCGCCCCGCACAGCCGGAGCCTGCCAGAAGGAACCCTCGAGAGCAGGGAGCGACGCCCCCGCTGGGGGCGCCGGTCGCGCCGAGATGCGCGCGGACCGCCAGGTGAGGACGCATGGAAAGCACCTGAGCGGGCCTCCTCCCAGAGCTCTGACTGCACCGCCGATCCGTGGTTGACCACCTACCAGACCACCCCGACCCAACCCGAAGACCCGCATTTCGGGTGGGGGGTGGGGGGGTACGGGTTCCACGTGTGTTTTCTCAGTGCTCCCCGACCCCCCCCACACTGGATACGGAGGGCAAATCGAGGCCTTCGGGTTGGGTTGGGGAGGCTTGGCGGGTCCACAAGCAGGAGGCCACATGATGGGCCCGTTTCCCACCACCACCACCACCATCAGTTGGAGGGGGAGGGGATCCTCCTCCCCCTCTTCTTCTTCCTCCTCCTCCTCCTCCTCCTCCTCCTCCTCCTCTCCTCCTCCTCCTCCTCCTCCTCCTCCTCCTCCTCCTCCACCTCCTTCCCCCCTCCAACCTATGGTAGTGGTTGTGGAAAACAGGCCAATCACCACATGCGAGCCCTGCCCCCACCCTCCCCCTCAGAGATCGTGGGGTGGGGGGGGGGGGGGGGGCAGGGGCAGGGTTCGCATGTGGCCCCCCGAAGTGGGATCCGTGGCCGGCCGCGGGGTGCCGATTGGAGCTCGGCCCGGGCCTAGGACTCCTGCGGCGGGAGCTCGGCGAACACCCGGAGCCGGAAGGCGGCGGCGCCCTGGAGCCGGGGGAGCAGGAAGGAGCGGAAGAACTCGAAGTCGGTCGCCTGCCGCGCCACCTCCAGGCTGCGAGTGGGGCATCGACTATATAGCATTGAGTCGCCCCAGAGCTGTGTTTCTTTCGCCAGGCATGCTCGTAGATCTACGGGGTATTCCACGCATGGTTCGTAGACTCGATGGGAAAACTGGTCTGTGATGTTTGCACCGGGCCACGCGTCTCGGCTGGTCCTGCCAGGCGCGCCCGCTGGCATGGCGAAGAATGACAGGTGAAACGCACCCTGCTCCAGGGACCTACCTCCCTCGAGCTCTTCTCGAGAGGGCGGCGAAAAAAGAAAACACGCCTGGGGTACATCAGTTCTGCAGTCGATATTCTACGGCCGGGCCTAGGACAGAAGAGCACCCTTCAAGAACACGAGACCCTCCGCTGGTCAAACCGAAGAACACTCGAGGGTGCCCTCCCCCAGGATGCACAAGAACATCCAACAAGCACGAAGAAAATCAGGGCCCGCTCCCCGAGCCGACCTCAATCTGATACCGCGGCCCGACAGTACATGGACAATAAGCTCGAAAGCTGCGGCACAAGATGCCCCCCCGGATTTCCAAACCTCATCTTGAGGATGCGGCAATGGAGAGGGCATGGGTGCACAGAAATAGTCGAACCCCCAAAGCACCACCCATACCAAAATCAACATTGGTCTCGGGGGCGGGGGGGCGATGAAAATCCCCCTCAAGCGTGTGAGGGTTCGAATGCCAAGTCCCCCGACGCCACGAATTGTTCACAACGTCGACCCCGAGGTCTGGACCCCTTCCCCTGGATCGCTATTCTTTGTCCTGAGCTGTCTTCTGACGGTTCCGGAGCCCGGCAAGGGCCCCCCGAGGTCGAAAACAGCGAGAAGCCTCCCGTCGTGCTTTTTGTCACAGCGCGAGGGCGTCTCGGGCATCCTGTCCCTCGGCTGGGTCGTAGTCGATCTTCTGCTCGCTCGACGGGTGGACGCGGACCGCGAGGGGGGGGGGGGGGCCGTGTGGGCGGGGGGGCGGCCCAGGGCTGCGGGAGAGCGGCCCCCCGGAAAAAGGTGCGGGAGCGATGCCACGCCACGAAGGTGCACACAGTCGAACCCAGGCTGAGGTCGGGCACGTCCTCCTGCAGGGGGATGCTGGAAGGAAATAAAAAAAAGTCGAATTACAAGAACAAGCAAGACAGGACGAACAAGCGTCCCCAGACTGTTGCTTGACTATTCCTGAAGATGCCTCCTGTAGAGGCACGTGCCCGACTTGAGTCTAGGCCAGAAGAACATCCTGCGAGAACAGAAGGCCCTTCGTCGGCCAAGACGGACAGAACATCCAAGGGCACCCTCTTTCAGGAGACACGGGACCATCCAACAGACAGGAAGAACACCAGGGCACCCTCCCCGCATCGACCTCGATCTTGTACCTCGATCCGACTGCATGTCATGACAATACACATGGCAGGTTCGTGCGGCGTCGGCGCGCGCACCAGAATATGACCTCCACGAGCGTCTCAAACACTCACTCCTTGTCGGGGTCGGCGGGACGGCGCGAGCCACATGAACACATACGGTAGCTTCGTGCGGCGTCGGCGCGCGCAGACGTTTTGGACACCGCGTCGATGGTTCAACCTCGAACCGATCGCGGCCCCGAGCGTTCAAAGTCGAATTCCGTCAGGTCCTGCGGCGCGACCGTGTCGCTCGGTGATTCCGCGTCGTTCTACCACGCGGCATTCAAACTTGAACGCCTTCGCTGGCGACGCCGGCGCGCCATCGCCGCGTGAACCTACTGTATACAGGCACCTTCCGAAGAACTTTGACTGCACCTTCAGGGAAGGCGGCGGTGTAGAAGGCCACTAGCCCTCAGTGGTGATCTATATACCGCCACCCTCCCCTGAGGCCCAGGAGCAATCCGGTGGAGGGTGTCTGTGTATTTGTCTACGGCGGAGGTGCGCCTGTCCTCACGAGGTCTCGATCTGCACAGAGCTTTTCGTTTTCGTTTTGGCGTCGTTCTCCCTCGTTCTGTCTTCGTTGCGGCCTTGTTGCAGAACGAAATCAAAACGAAAACGGCCCACGAAAACGGCAAGAACCCCGTTGAGCTCGAGCCCTGGTCTCCCCCCCCTTCACTCCCCGCCCGTTTGCCGTCCGTCCCGACACCTGCGCGATCGGCAGCGCCAGATCTGGGCCGCCCAGGGACACCCGCGCGTCGGCGAGGATGGCCTCGAGGTCGCGGGTGTCGATGCCCTGCTGCCTGTGGGGCGCTGCCGGCACAGGAGCCCGCGGCCCGAGAGCTCTCCCCGGCGGCGCCGCGCCGTACTCCTGCTGCCGGGCAGCTGCCGGCCCGGGTCGGTCCAGGCCTATTGCGGGGCCCTGCAGGGTCCTGAGAGGACCCTGCTTAATTAAGGCCCTGCGCCCAGGCCCGGGTCAGCGCACCCCTGGCCCTGCAGGATCCTGCAGGATCCGGCGCTCTGGCCGGCCCCCGCCTGCGCGTGGACCCCCGCCTCTCGAGCCCGGGCCTCGGCCCTCCGCGAGGGCCCCCCGGGGGCCTCGCGCGGGCTGCGGCGGCCCGCCGTGCCGCCAACCGAGGCGCCCCCGGGCGCGCGCCGCGGCGAGGCGCCGACGTGCGTCCAGAAAGACGGCCCTCCGCGAGGGCACGGCGGCTGGACGGGGGCCCGCATCCCTGCGCGGCGCACGAGCGGGAGTGCGCTCGCGGACCCAAAACCGGGCGGGCCCCCTGGCAGCAGCGGGCCCCGGGCCCTCCTGGGGCCTGCCTCTGGGGACTATAGCTCCTCGTCCCGAGCCGTGTCCCGTCGACGGCCCCCTGCGAGGCGAGGCATATCTGCAACAGGTCTCTGGGCGTTGCCACGTTTTCGCCATGGGCGCTTTTGACCAGCGTCGGGCCCCGGGACCCTCATATATTGATCCATCTCGAAAATTTCAGCAGAAAGATTGGGTCCAGGGCTCTGGTAGTGAGTTTGTGCCATGTTGCACTGTTTTGACACGTCAGATCTGAAGGAGATGATCCACGTCCACCGCCTGTGGATCCGACGTCGTGGGGTCCCAGCGGGCGGTGGTTATGGGTACACCTTGGCCGCAGGGGGGCCCGAAGAGATCCACGCCCACCGCCCGCCGAGGCCCCGGGAGATCGATCCCGCAGGCGGTGGCTTGTGGACAAGTCCCCGCCTCGAGGCCCCCATGGCCCCGGCGCGGCCCCTGGCCATAGGGGAGCTCCACCGAAGGTGCCGATGACAGCGCACGCACGCAGCTCCACCCTTCACTTCGGCATACCCCTCACACGCTTTTCGTGGCCCAAGAGGGAGCCCCACCGAAGACGCCACTGGCAGCGCCCGCGTGAAGCTCCAACCCCATGCCGCCGAACCACTCACACGTTCCGTGGACGCATGGGGAGCTCCACCGCAGGCCGAAGTGGCAGCGCCCGCATGCGGTTCCACCCTGCATTTCGGCGACCCCCCTGCACGCTTCGAGGCCCAGACGGAGCTCCACCGAAGGCCCCGAACCCTCCCAAACGTTTCGTGGCCCCATAGTTAGGTCGGGCCTGTCCCCCTACAAGGGGATGTTGGACGAAAAATAAAACATACTCAAGAAATGCAAAAGATGCCCGAAAATACTAAAAGAATCGCCCCCCTACTATTTTTCCCAACCAACCTGTGTTGTTGGGTCCTCGTTTTGAAGAGACGGTGCCCCGCGTCTTCTTCCTCCTCTCCTCCTCCGCCTCCTCTCCCCTCCTATCATCCTCATCGTCATCATCATCATCATCATCATCATCATCATCATCATCATCATCATCATCATCATCGTCATCATCAGCATTATCATCATCATTATCATCATCATCGTCATCAGCATCAACATCATGGCCGCCATCATAACCATCATCGTCATCATCACCATCATCGTCGTCATCACCATCATCGTTGTCCTCGTCGCCATCATCGCACGTTTCGTGGCCCCATACGGAGCTCCACCGAAGGTCCCAGTGGGTGTGCCCGCACGCGTCCCGCACACCCATTTTGGCACACCCCTCACACGTTTCGTGGCCCCTCAGGGAGCTCCACCTAAGGTCTAAGTGGCGCAGCTCGCATGGCGCCACCGCCCCATTTTGGCACACCCCTCACACGTTTCGTGGCCCCATAGGGAGCTCCATCTACGGTCCAAGTGGCGCAGCTCGCATGGCGCCACCGCCCCATTTTGGCACACCCCTCACTGATTTCGTGGCCCCTCAGGGAGCTCCTTTTGGCACACCCCTCACACGTTTCGTGGCCCCATAGGGAGCTCCATCTACGGTCCAAGTGGCGCAGCTCGCATGGCGCCACCGCCCCATTTTGGCACACCCCTCACAGATTTCGTGGCCCCTCAGGGAGCTCCTTTTGGCACACCCCTCACACGTTTCGTGGCCCCATAGGGAGCTCCACCTAAGGTCCACGTGGCGCAGCTCGCATGGCGCCACCGCCCCTTTTTGGCACACCCCTCACACGTTTCGTGGCCCCATAGGGAGCTCCATTTACGGTCCAAGTGGCGCAGCTCGCATGGCGCCACCGCCCCATTTTGGCACACCCCTCACAGATTTCGTGGCCCCTCAGGGAGCCCACCTGAGGTCCAAGTGGCGCAGCTCGCATGGCGCCACCGCCCCTTTTTGGCACACCCCTCACACGTTTCGTGGCCCCTCAGGGAGCTGCACCTAAGGTCCCAGTGGTGCACCCAGTGGGTGTGCCCGCATGCGTCCCGCACACTCATTTTGGCACACCCCTCACACGTTTCGTGGCCCCATAGGGAGCTCCACCTAAGGTCCAAGTGGCGCAGCTCGCATGGCGCCACCGCCCCATTTTGGCACACCCCTCACACGCTTCGTGGCCCCATAGGGAGCTCCATCTACGGTCCAAGTGGCGCAGCTCGCATGGCGCCACCGCCCCATTGTGGCACACCCCTCACAGATTTCGTGGCCCCTCAGGGAGCTCCTTTTGGCACCCCTCACACGTTTCGTGGCCCCATACACGATCAAGAAGCTTAAAGGACACGAGGACATACCCGCGGGGGGCAAGCTGAAAGCGCTGCAGGACACGTGGGAGGCGGTCAGGTGCTTGATCCTGGAGGAGGTGAGCATGATCTCGCCCAACCTGTACAACATGCTGGCGTTCCGGTCCTACCTGGGACGCAAGGCCGAGTGGGGCGCGGAGGAACGCGAGTACGACCAGGTCGGCGGCGCCTTCGGCCGGATGCCCATCGTGATCCACCTGGGGGACTTCCTGCAGCTGAAGCCGACGGGGGGCAAGGCGTCGCTCATCTCCAGCTTCGAGGAACTGGCGGCGGCGGGCATCAACCTCGCCCCAGAGTGCCAGGCAGTGATGAAGCTCTTCTGCAACACGCCGCTGTGCTTCGAGCTCCAGGCGTCCAACCGCGAGATCTCATGGCGTTCCTGCGCAAACCGGGGAAGCAGGCCCCTCCGGCCATCCGGGCCACGTGGAACGCCATGCAGCTGAAACCCGATGATCGCCGGCTCCGGGAGGAGAGGTTCCAGAACGGCCACATGATCGGGTCCTACTGGGACACCGTGGCGCGGTGGATGAACATGCGTGCTCAGCGGGACGCGGACGTCCTGAAGAAGCCCCTCTTCCTCGTGCAGGCCGCCGACAGGTCTGCACCGACGATGAGCGTCAAGGACGCCGCCAAGATGATGAACTGTGCCAACCCGAAGAACACCGGTGGCATGCACGGGCTGCTCCCGGCATGCGGATCTGGCTCCTGGAAGCGCGCGACCTCAAGAACGGCCTCGTCAAGGATGCCGAGGGGCAGATCGTGCACATCGTCGTGGACCCTCGAGATCGGGACGACGTCGAGAGAGCCGAGAGAGAGGGGGAGAAGAGGATCTACCTCAAGCGCTTGCCGCTGGGGTTCTGGGTGCGCATGGAGAAGTACGCGAGCGCGCCCTGCGTGGACGACCTCAAGCGCCGCGACGACAGCCTCACGGGGGACCTCGCGGGCCCGCTGGTGTTCATCGAGCCCCGCACGTCGGAGCCGTTCACCTTCCGCACCTCCAAGGTCACGCGGACGGGCTTCCCGTTCTCGCACGGCAGGGTCATCACCACGGTGGCGTGCCAGGGGCGCACCATGCGCGAAGGCGACGGGGCGGGGGAACGGCGCTCCGGGGACGGCCAGACCTCCGGGGCGCGAGCAGTCCGCGGCCAGACCTCGGTCCTGTGGACTCTCGCCCTGGGCCGTCGGCTGCCCGGCGCACTGCTCCCTCGGCCGAGTCGCCCAGGTGTGATCCTGGACTGCGGCCGCCACGAGGTCGGGAACGGCAAGAAGGAGGACGACGACTGGTGGCTGGAGCTCTACGCGCTGCTCTCGCGCGCCACGCGCCACGAGGACCTCCTGCTCACGCGGGCGCCGCGCATCGAGTTCTTCCTGGCAGGACCGCCGGAGGGCTTGCGAAAGCAGCTGGAGCAGTTTGCAGCGCGCACGAAGCGGCGCAGGAGGGAGGCGACGGCCCTCGCCAGGGAGCTCGGCTTCACCGAGTTTATCCGCGAGGCCTGACCTGAGGAGCGCCCCCCCGAGCCGCGCCTTCTCTCGACTGCCCGCATAATTGTTCGGCCTCGCGCCGCGGACGACCCGCGCGCGTCGCTGGGACCCTCTCGGGGCGACCAGCGCGCGTCGCGGGGATTCCGCGCGGCGCTCTGCTCAGCGCCTCGCTCGCCCGTCGTCGCTCTGCCCAGCGGCCGGAGCCTTGCCCGCAATCAGCCGGCCGGCTAGCTCTCTGTGCTCCGCGCAGCGGACGACCTGCGCGCGTCGCTGGGACCCCTCCGCGGCGACCTGCGCGCGTCGCGGGGACTCCGCGCTGCTCTGCGCCCGCAGCTTTGGATTTTTGGAGCGCGCAGGCAAAGAGGGGGGAAAAGAAGGGACGGCAGCGGGTGCGATCCCCGTGAGGGGCGTGCCGACATGGGCGTCGCGGCGCGCGGGCGCTGCCGTCGGGATTCCCGCGGAAGCTGCCTGCGGCGGCCACGCCCAGTGTCACAAGTGTTCGGACAGGCATGCTCGAGCCATTCACATTCATATACATTTACACTAGGCGTAGCCAAGAACGCATTCATGCAAATATACTCAGTCCCACGCAGACCCATTCACACTCAGACTCTCTCGAGCTCTGGCTCACCCGCGTTCATTATTTCGTAATCTGACCTATCGTATTCCTTTGCGTTGTGTGCCCCGCCAGATTTCGGCATGCCCCTCATGCGGTTCGTGGCCCCATAGGGAGCGCCACCGAAGAAGGTACTCACAATTGCGGCACTCACAACTGCATATGGTTGGGTCTTTCGCCAGGATAATTTTAAACTATTTTCGAAGATTCCCCCGGTGGAGGGCCGGGCCCGACTGAATCCCATGAAGCGCTCCACCGAAGATCCCAGCGGCCCCTGCGGCGGGCCCCCCCCCTCCTCCTCCATCTCTCGTGCTCCTCGCGGTGCCCGGCGGCAGGGCCCGCGAGGCGGCCCCGCCAGTCCGGCGCACCCCTGCACGTGCTCCGCGGGTCCCCGTGCGGAGGTCCACCGAGGGCGGCACCCACAGCGACGGCACCGTCAACCCGCACGGGAAGGATGCGCGGCGAGGATGCATCGGGGATGGACAGACGTCCCTTTAGTAAAACGTGGTTTAGTGAAAACGACCTCGGGCCTAAACCTGGCGGGCGCAAGCCTGGAGAATGACGGCCGCGGCGCCCTCTCGAGAACCGAAAACGAACAATTCACTAATCGACGTGTCAGGGTAGGAGGTCTGTCCACCCCCGAATGCAAGGGCCCTGGACGCCGATTTCGAAGCTTCTCGAGCGGGGCGCGGCCAACGAAAGTGGCCAAGGAGGGGCCGAGGAGGCAAGCATGAGCGGGGTGGTAGATGAGGATGAGGAGAAGGGGGAAAAGAAGGAAGAGGAGGAGGAGGAGGTGCCTCTCGAAATCCATGCAGGACTCGCCGTGGGCAAGACCCTGCTGAAGGAAGGAGAGGAGACAGGAGGGTCGTCCAGGCCCCCAAAGAGGTACCCCCTCCTGGTCGGCCGTACCCCCCACCCTCCCTCCCCTGGTCACGCCCGTCGTCGCCAGGGGATTCACAAAGACGGCCTCCCTGCACCCCGAGCCGTTGTCAGGCGCGGCCCCGTCAAGAAGCGTGCCGCCGGAAGCCGACTGCGACCCTGCTTCGCACCGCCTGGAGCAGAGGGTCTGCTCCCCCCTCGTGCTGGGCTCCCAGCCTGGGGGCCATTACTCGGGCCCCAGGCGGCCGTTCTGGAAGAGCTGGGCAACCCTGATGCTTGGCCTCAGGGCACGCCGGCGAGAAGGACTCCCGAGACCGCGGCGCTTTGCGTCTGAGACTTCGAAGTGCGAGTGAGAGCGTCATGCGACGACCTTGCGGGCGAAGCCGAGCGGACTTGAGAGACCTCGGCATCGCCCGTCTCAAAAGTCCCATCCCCTGGGGTCCCGAGTGGAACCACATGAAACCCGCTCCCTCACCAGAAGAAGAATTACACCAGAGAAAGGCCTCAATCAGTGGATAGTTTGAAATGGGATCGATCCAGAGATCGATAAAGAGATCGACCGGGAACCTGGGAACCCGGGAACCCGGGAACCCAGAACCCACCGAAATCGGCCCAGAACCAATGACCAGGAACCCGGAACTGGGAACCTGGGAACCCAGCCGGCTACCAAAATCGACGGGAAACTTTCGCCAAATCTTTCAATTTCCGCTAGGACCCCTTCAGTGCAAGCACTGAGTTGGGAAAAAACTGCATAAACGCAAAGTTTTGGCGCTGCGCGCTGACTTGCTGGATCTGCGCTGGAGGGGCGGCGCCAGAGGCGCCGCCGGGGGGGTCCCAGCATGGACCCAAGAAACCCACGCGGAGCGCTGACAGCTTCAGTGTTTTGCGTTTCTTCTTATTCTTCTTATTATCATTGTTCTCATTATTATTATTATTATTATTATTATTATTATTATTATTATTCTTATTATTCTTATTCTTCTTATTCTTATTATTATTAGTAGTATTATTATTATTCTTAGTATTAGTATTATCATTATTCTTGAAGCCCGCGCCAGAGTGCAACAAGTTGATGCTTGTGGCGTTTTTCTTCTTCGGCGAACGCCCCGCTTGGAACCTCATGATACCCGCTCTCTCACTGCTGATTCTGGCATTAGGTCGGGCGTGTCCTCCTACAGGCGGATGTTGACCGAACATCGAAAAATATTCAAACAGATATGCAGCATCTTATCAAACAGTGGTGACGATTATTTTGCTTGACTATTTCTGAACATCCCCCCTGTAGAGGGAGAGGCCCGACTCAACGCTGCTGATTCTGGCAACGACCAGCGCCTCTTCTCCAGGTCGAGCAGCCGGAAGAGCGCGAGGCTGCAGCAGAGGCCGCCGGCGCCTCCGGCATCCAGCGGCTGCGGCGCCGCCGCGGCCACGAGGCCCTGCAGGAAGTCCGCCACGCCGATCTTCTCGTCCTGGTCGAAGTCGAAAGCGCGGAACCTGGCAGAGCGGAGGGCGGAACAGTCGCCCTCACGACAATCACCCCGACACGCGAAGCCGCGTGGTAGACGCAGCCAGAGGAGGAATCGCACAGGGCAGGGCTGCTCAGGAAACGCCTGAGGCCGTGGAGCAAACGCCGATGATCGGGTCCGGATGGTCTCGCCCTCCCTTGGCAGACGGAAGGCCGGAAGCACCAGAGGCTGTCGGATCTCCACGCGGAGCTGCTCGGATCGGCGCCCCGCCTCCACCCTCCCTGGGCTGCCTCCGGGGAGGCCCCCGCCTCCCACGGCCAGGCTCTCCTCGGCATGCTGGCCGGGACGCGCCCCGGGGAGAGGCCACGGCGAGGTCCCGGGAGCAGCGGCAGGGGTATACAGACAGGAATCTGCTGTTTGATTTTCGCGGGTCGAGGGCGCACCTCTTCCGGCCGAAGCGGAGCGGGCCGCGCGAAGCTTGAATCAATCAGAGGTGGGGGAGGCATGGGTACAGACGAGGAGGAGGAGGAGGAGGAGGAGGAGGAGGAAGAAGAGGAGGAAGAAGAGGAGGAGAAGGAGGAGGAGGAGGCGGAGGAGGAGGAGGAGGGGGAGGAGGAGGAGGAGAAGGAGGGGGAGGAGGAGGAGGAGGAGGAGGAGGAGGAGGAGGAGGAGGAGGAGGAGCTGTCAGGGAGCTCCACCCGGACTTCTGGGATCGGCCCTGGGCCTCCCTCCCTGGCCCGCGGAGCGCGCGCCAGCCGGAGCGGGGGGATGCCAGCGCCGAGCCGGGATGGTCCGCGCGGCGCGCCGACAGCTCGGGCCTGCAGCCAACCCGCACGGGGAGGGCGCGCGGTGAGGGCGCAGAGGGCCTCGGAGGCCCACCTCGAAGCTCCTCGGGCGGGGCGCGGCCAGCGAGAGTGGCCAAGGATGGGCCGAGGAGGCCAGGACGCAGGGGCACCCTCGGGAAGAGCGCCCCATCCTTGCTGTGCGGGTCGGCTGCATGCCGTGCTCTCTCCTGCTCGGGAACCACTGAGGGCAGGCTCGCAGGCGGATCCCGCGCTTCAGCAGCCACATCGAGAAGGTCTCGAGGGACAGGCGGTGGTCCTGCGCCTCGGCGTCCACGCCGCCGCCGGGCAGCTTGCTGGACTGCCTGCGAGGGGCTGGAGGCATCCACCGACCTCTGGAACCGCTCCTGGACCAACTGCCCAGACATCCTCGAGTCGTGAAAAGACACGACGGGAAATGGTGGCCACGTTTCTGCCTCTATGAGGGCCCCCGCCGGGCCGGGGGACCGTCGGCAAAACGACTGAACTGAGGATGGAACAACACCCCCCGAAAAGGGCCCAGACCTCTGGCATCGGCGTGGAAAAAAAGCACGGCTTCGAATATCTGCCGTCCTGTCCCCTATCTGACGTTCCCAAGGTAATGAGTACGGCGTCGGATGTCTGGGTTCCTGTCCCCCCAGAGATCCGATATCGTGATTTTCTTCAATACGGGATCCCCAAAAGTCTCGACCCATTGCCCAGGACCGGTTTCTCATCCCGAGTCGTTGTTTGACGGTCCTGGGGCCTGGCGAGGACCCCTGGAGGCCGAAAACTGAAGAAAACCTCCGTTCTGATCTCTGGACCTGCCTGACGCTCCCAAGGAAGCTCCCTTCTGGACCACATGCCCATGCTGGGCTCGGGGCACCGTTCCGGCCGCCCCTCGCGGGCTGGAGACCGCTCCATGCCCTCGGCCTCGTGGCCCCAGCTCCTCGGCCGGCCGCCATCCCATGGATTGCAGGGCGGCTCTGCGCGGATGCCCTGGGGCCGAACGCACTCATGAGGAAAACTTCGCCTGGCGAAGGGCCCAACCACATGCAGTTGTGGATACCGTCGTGGTGAGAATCGGCTTCGGTGGACCTCCTCATGAGGCCACGCAAGCGCGTGAAGGGTGTGCCGAAAAGTGGCGGGACCGTCATGCGGGCGCCGCCACTTGGGCCTTCGGTGGAGCTCCCTATGGGGCCACGACACGTGTAACGGGTTCGCAGAAATGGAAGGTGGAACCGCATGCGGGCGCTGCCACTGGAGCCTTCGGTGGAGCCCCCTTTATGAGGCCATGAAACGTGTGAGGGGTGCAACGAAATGGAGGGTGGAACCGCATACGGGCGCTGCCGCTGGAGTCTTCGGTGGGGCTCCCGATGGGGCCACCAGACGGGCGAGGGATTCCCCGAAATGGAGGGTGGAACCGCATGCGGGCGCTGCCAGTGGGGCCCTCGGTGGAGCTCCCTATGAGGCCACGAAGCGTGTGAGGGGTGTGCCGAAATGGAGGGTGGAACTGCATGGGGGTGCACCGAAATGGCAGGTGAAACCGCATGCGGGCGCTGCCATTGGGGCCTTAGGTGGAGCCCCCTATGAGGCCACGAAACGTGTAGAGTGTTGTGTTGGACGGGGGGTGGAACTGCATGCGGGCGCTGGCCCTGGGGCCTTGGGTGGAGCTCCCTGTAGGGCCACGAAACGCGCGAGAGGGTGCTCCGAAATTGAGGGCGGAACCGCATGCGGGCGCTGCCACTGGGGCCTTCGGTGGAGCTCCCTATGAGGCCACGAAGCGTGTGAGGGGTGCACCGAAATGGAGGGTGTAACTGCATGCGGGCGCTGCCACTGGGCTCTTCGGTGGGGCTTTCTATGGGGCCACGGCACGTGTGAGGGGTCTACCGACATGGAGGGTGTAACTGCAAGCGGGCGCTGCCACTGGGCTCTTCGGTGGGGCTTTCTATGGGGCCACGGCACGTGTGAGGGGTCTACCGACATGGAGGGTGGAACTGCATGCGGGCGCTGCCACTGGAGTCTTCGGTGGGGCGTTGTATGGGGTCACGAAACGCGTAAGGGATGCACTCAAATGGGGATGGAACTGCATGCGGGCGCTGCCACTGGGGCTTTCGGTGGAGCTCCCTATGGGGCCACGAAACGCGTGAGTGGTGCACCGAAATGGCGGGTGGAAATGCGTGCGACCGCTGCCACTGGGGCCTTCGGTGGAGCTCAGGGGGCCATGACACGCTGCACTTGGTGCAGAGGGCAGAGGCAGCGGGAGGAGGTGGAACGCGGGGCTCGGTCTCTCGAAACGGGGACCCAACACCACAAGATGGTTGGGAAAAAACAACAAGTACATAAACAGGATCGGCACTCGAACCCTCTCCCTGGCGCCAGGAGGGTCCAGCGCAGATCCAAGAGATCCTCGCGGGCCTTCGACTGTCTGGCCTTGTGCAGCGCTTGTTTCTTCGATCCACGGGGACGAGCGTCCATGGGGCCAGCGCAGATCCAAGGTCGGCGCAGACCTCCGAAAGCTTTGGGCTTATGCAGTTGTTGTTTCGTCGATCCACGGGCAGGAGCACCCATGGGATCGCGACTCGAACTCTGAGCCGCGAGGGAACGGAGGCGAACATGATCGTCGCTCGCGAGTGTCCTCCTTATTCTGCACCTACCGAAGCCAGCTTCACGATCGGCGAACATGTCCGTATTCGCGCACTCGCGGTCTGGACTGACAGGGCGCGATCCCGCGGATTCGCGGTCGCACGGATGCGCTCCGCGCGGGACATCCGCGGAAAAAAACGCTCCGTTTCCGCGGGGTCGCGGCCCAACGGCCCGGCCCGCGAGGCCGCGGATACGGAGAGTTTTCGCAGCCCACTATGTACCACCTGCACCCCCCACCCCAGGCTGATTCCCCCCCCCTGCTCCAACATCGGCGTCCACCTGTGCGCGTATGGTTCCGTGCAGTGGAGGCCCGACCACAAGAGACCTTCCACAAGAGAACCAACCCTGAAACCCCAGGACGTCCCTCGATTTTTGGTGTGGGGACGTCGCGCTGTCCATCACAAAACCATCGAAACCCAAGAAACCCAGGGCACCCCGGAGGCAAGCAGGGTGTTTCTTGGCATGGGCCCCCACTGTACGGCATTGATGTCGAGGCAATCGCCGGCTGCGAGGCTGGGGGACCCGGTGCGATCGTCGTCTGAAGCCACGCCGCAGAGGGTGTCTCCAGCTGTTGGCGGCAGGCTTGTGGCGAAAATCTTCCTGTCCGAGCAGAGCAGCAGAGCCGCCAGTGCAGTCGGACCGAAGCCAGAAGAACATCCCTCAAGAACATGAGACCCTCCGCCGGCCAAAACGAACCGAACATCCAAGGGTGCCCTCTCCGGGAGACACAGGAACATCCAACAAGCACCGATGAGCACTACGTAGGGTATCCTCCCTGAACCGACCTCGATCTTATACCTCGGTCAGACTGCACTTTTCGCCCACGACAAGTCGCAAGGCGTCCCCAGACCCCTCCTGGACTCCATCCTGAACGGCCCCTCGAGCCGCGCCCCAGCGCCGCAACGAGAGCCCCCTGGAAGCGCCCCGAAAAGACCTTGGAGCGACGCCACAGAAACTTCCGAAGCGCCGTCGTCATCGTCGTCGGCATCGTCGTGAGCCCCAGCCTGGGCTGGTCCGCCAGCTCACCCTCGAACTCCTTGAGCCCCTGCTTCCACTCGCGCTCGCCCAGGCCAGCCTCGAGCCACAGGCCGCAGAGGTGCCGCAGGAGGGGCTGCTCTGGCGGGCGGGACGCCTGGAGGAGCAGAAAGCAGGCGCCGGCACCGAGCACGCATCCCGCCGAGGGTCCGCGCGGACCCGTCGGATCGGCGATGGGCCCTGAGATCCTTCGGAGGTAAGACGAAGCCAGGACGAGACTCCACGGAATCGGGGGAGGACACATCGAGAACCTCTGAGATCCGGCGGCTCTGGAGGATGTATCGAGCGCCGCGGCCTTCTCAGAGCGTTCCACGGAACACTCTGAGAGCATTCTGGAACGCTCGGGAACGGATCCACCCTCGTTTTGATTTGCGCGCGGGTGATCGTCTGCCGAACACTCCTGCCCGTGGCGCCGAAACGACGAGCGAGGGGCCCGAAGAGGGGCCGAAAGAAACGAGGGACGGACCAGGACCCGACAGAGCCGAGCCAGCCCCGTCCTTCGAGGAGCACCAGGGACCACCGCCACCGAGAACCCTCCGGGAGGGGACCGAACCCTGGGCGGTGGCACGCCAGAACGTCGTCCTGTACTGGGTGACGCGCGGAGGGAGGAGGAGGCAGGAGGCAGGAGGGAGGAGGGAGGAGGGAGGAGGGAGGAGGGAGGAGGGAGGAGGGAGGAGGGAGGAGGGAGGAGGGAGGTGGCGGCGGTCCCTGGCTCTCTGCATCCCGGGGCCCAGTTATTTTCGCAACGGGCGGGTTTGCCATGCTTTGGGCCCCAGGACCCTCACGGATCCCAGCTCGGAGAATGCCGCAGGAAGAGCGGGTCCGGGGCTCCCCGGTTGGGGTGTTTGCTGCTGCGAGGTTGCAACCTGCCGTGGACGTTTTCATATCCGGCGTTTCGGCATTGGGCGGCTCTGAACCCCTGCTTCACGCGACTGTTTGCAGCAGTGCGTCCTGTGGGGGAGACTCCACCTGCTCGAAACAGACGCCAAAAACAGTCAAGGTCTGCTCTATGGGGGGGAAGGGGGGAGGGAGGGCCCGCGCCGATCGGCAGAACAATGAATAAGAAAACGATCACTTTCGTGATGTCGGACCTCTGGGTTTGGGATTGGCGCTGGACCCCCCGTCCCTGGCGCGCGGAGCGCACCAGGGGCGGAGCTGGAGGCACCGCCAGGGGGTCCAGCGCAACGTTCGGTGGCAACTCATGAGAGCCTCCCATACCATCGTGTCGGCTTTTGCGAATCGACGCTAGTCGACGCTAAATCGACACTAGTCGACGCCAGATCGACGCCGATCGACGCTAACCGACGCTAGGGCGCGCTATCTCATCGACTCCCAGACGCTGATCGACGCGAATCGACGCTAAAGACGGAATTAAAAAGGGTACACCAGGCTCCCATGACTTGCTACCGAAGCAGCGGACCCTCGAAGATTCATGTTCATGCCGTTCGGGCGTGGACAGGACCCTGTGGAAGCCTGGAGAAGGGCACCAACACCAACACAGGCGGGGGCCTCCACACACGGGGACGATGATCCTGGATGTCGGCGTTGGTGGTGCTATGCGGGCCACCTAGAAGCCCGAAGACGGCCACCATCGCCGAGATTGGGAGCATCTCCCCTCGCTGCAGGCACGCCGCCGAGAACGGCGACGGTGTCGAGCCCTATAGGCCTCCGAGCCCTCCGCTTTCT